GGATCTTTTTCCTTCTTCCCTCCTGGACTTTTATTTGGAGGGGAGAAGAGATTTGATCCATTGTAAATACTTATGTCATGGTAGAGATAGCTAAGATTGTATATAATGTATTGTAGTATTTATTTGTACAGTCATTGTAATATATATTTCCTTTCCCCCATTTTGAGACTCGTGTGGTTGTCTGGAAAAAAACATCTCACATTGGGTTGAGATGTGGGAGGGGGCTAGGACTAGGGAATTGGATTTTTGGGGCTCTCAAACCATGACACTATCTTTTCCAGTGAACTTCAGGAGGACTTGGGGAAATAAGTTAATTTCTATTTTTGTATGTCTTTCTATTTCTAAGAGCCTCACTGAATAACTGCTCACGAATAAATGAAGGTTAATCAAACTGTCCTACACAGGCTTGAGGCTTAGCCACTAGTAATTTTATATTTAAGATTTTATCTTCAGTCAAGATTTTAAGAAAAATTCCAATTAATCTAATAGAAACCCAGCATCTGATACACAGTTTTGCATGGCTGACTAGGCACACTGAACCAGACTTGGCTTCAGTTAAGACAACTGATATTATCATACAAAACAGTGAAAGTAGCAGCCTGTACTTACAGCAAGTGATAAAGAGATGTTTTAAATTAGTTGTTGACTTTTTTTTCTTTAAAGAAACTAATAAATGTAGACTCTCCCCCCAGCTGTGGATCTAATAAATCTGAAGCACTGTTCAAACTCTGTAGAGCTGGTAGAAGAGAGTGACAACAGCTTTTCCCTCCAACTTGCTTCTTCATTGACATGCTAAGGATATGTGAAAGAAACAAAACAAAACAAAACGAGACAAAAAAAAACCACCAAAAGAAGCAACAAGAAAACAAAGCAAAACAAAACCAACACAAAACCCCAAGAAAGACTGGCACCATAATGATTGTATTTGCCTTAACTACAGTCAGTAAGAGATGCTTTTACTTCTATTTCATTTTGTCAGGGATCAATGACAATTAGCCCTTAAAAAACAGTTATACTAAAAAAATAATAGAATGAGAAAGCATAGGAGTGTACCTCTATCTCAAATAGGTTTAGCCTAAATCTGGCATGCTCCACTCCTTGAAAATAGTATTGTTTCAATTTCTTTATCCTTCACTCTAAAAACTGCTGCACTCAGTATACCAATTTTGACTTTCAGGCTCATAAACAGTATTTGATCCTCAATAGTGTTCACCAAAAGGAATCTCATTTAAAAGTCCCAGCGCTGCCATCCACCCCTCAATTTCAAGCCACGGCGTATCTTTTCTGCCTGATACATTTTTATGCAAAATATTTTTTTAATTATTGCATGTAATGTAGACTATATTCTTTAATTGTTTAGCTTTCAAAAAAGGCATTAAAAAGTTGATTTTGGAAACTTTTGAATTAAAGGAAAAAAAACCAAAACCCACTCTCTTTCTTCAAGTGTTAAGGAAAATCTCCCTTTGAGTAACCTCAGAATTTTGAAGGAGAATTGAGGCTTTTGAAGCAGTATCATTTCAGGCTGCAGAATAAGCCTCACTGATTATTTACTGTAGTGCATAGCTGCTGAAGTTATATGTGTTGAATGGTGACCTCAGGAGCATGGTACACTAGAAAAAGGGCTGCAGCTATAAAGGGTTATTATTAATTCCCCAGTGGAACATTCCACCTAAAATACCACAGGAAAAAAAGAGCTTAACAGTAACATTGTGACAAATTTCATAGTGAGTCAAGGCCACACTAGCTAGTAGGAAGTACTCATTCCACTCTAGGTTGACCAGAGCACAGTGTTTTGACCTGCACTGGCAATTACATCTTGCTACTCTGGTAACTTTATGGCCTTTTAACTCAAAGGTTTTCAGCATCCACCCAGTCTCCATTGTGGCCTTGTTGGGGAAAGTGGAGGATAAGGAAAGGGAAGTAAGGCCAAACAGGTCTGCCTTTCTAGAAAGATAGACTGTGGTGCTTTGTGAGTGATTGGAGTGACTATCAGCAAAACCAGGCTCGAGGGAAAAAGAACCGTATGCTGTGAACCACAAAAGGATCTGAAGGAGCCTCAAGACCTTCACCCAGGAGGCGTACAGTTGCCACACACACCCCCCCCAATCTGTCAGGTACTGTAACTCACAGTCAAAACCAGCATTTCCAAGTCAAATATTGTCAATTTTTTCCATATTTGACTAGAAAAGAAGAGCCTGGATAACCTTGTTTTGCATATGCTTACAAAAAGTTTGCCTCAAGTCTGAAACAAGCAAGCAAAAAAAAAACATAGATAGGTCTATCCAAAATTCAGTGAGTGGGCTGCGGAATTTGCCATCATAGCACAACCAGAAAAAAACAGCTTGATGGATGACACTTGGTTTTCTAAGCTTCTAGTATGTTCCATTTTTTGCATTTTTTTACTACTGCAGCAAATATAAATTACTTTTCTACATGTTAAAGGCATCTTAGGCCATACAGCAAAGCCAAAGAACAATAAATAAGAAAGAGGTCTGAAATAAGAAGTTTTGACTGATATGCAGTAAAAGAGAAAAAAAACATAGAAAGGAACCACAATTTTTACCTGGTATTGTTCTTAAATTGATTAAATCTGCACAATGTCACAAAGAAAACTGCAAAGGGGAAAGTGACAGATTAAGAGGATTAAGAAACTCTTAGGATAGAGGAAAATAGTGAAAATGCTAGAGACTAGAGACAAACCTCAGGAAGGTAGTTCACTTTCATGCTCTGGATTAGAGAAAATAGCTGAAAGCATGAATAAGATATAGACAGGGTAGTAATACTTCACAAATAGTCATTTTACTGGTGGTTTAATGTGCATACACAGACCGGAAGTCAAATGGGAAGAGACCCATAACTGAATTCTCCTTGCTTACCAAGAGCAATGAGTTCAGATGCAAAAGTCAGTCAGTCATTGAAGTGATGAAGAACAGCAGAGGTCAAGGCTTTTGGAACTAAAACATGTTTATGCTTAAGGCATGAAGGAAAAAGAGGGAAACTGGGTGGCAGGAGGAAGAAGAGGCAAATCGAAGATTGTGACATGAAACTTTTAAGTATGAAGTAGGTGAAGAGACCAACTTGAAAGGGAAGGGTGATATGGGCAACTCACTGGCATCCCCCTTCCTTAATAGGCCTAATTGTCATGATATGTCTAGACAGGCATGCCGAGAACCCTGGCTACCTTATTTGCTTCCTTTGCAGTCTGACATCCCATACATTATAAGCTACCTGCAGGTCATTCTACAATATTGTGCAAGCTTAAAATTAAAAAATAAACATGAGATATGCTGACAGTGTGTTACTCAATGCTAAACTGAAGTTCCCAGTGATCATTAAACTAACAGCATAGAATCACAGAATTATGTTTGAAGGGATACTAAATATCACTAGTTCCAATCTTCCTGCCATGGGCAGGGACAGCTTCCAAAAGATCAGGTTGTTGAAAGCCCTATCCAACCTGGCCTTGAACACTGCTAGGGATGGAGCACCCACAATTTCTCTGGGCAATCTATTTCAGTGCCCCACTACCCATTGAATAAAGAATTCCTTCCTAATATCTAATTTGAATCTCTCCTCTTTTATTTTAAAGCCATTCCCTCTTGTCCCATCACGACATGTCTTTGTAAACACTCCCTCTCTAGCTTTCTTCTTGGCCCTGTTTAGATACTGAAAGGTGCCTAAAAGGTCTCCACAGAATATGTTGATATCTTGATTTGTGTGTATCTCTTAAATAACCTGAAGCCCTACAATAGCAAGTGTGATTTATAAATTACCCCTCAAGATTAACATTACCATTTTGGCTATTAACTCTCAAAATATCCATTCTCTTCCTCTTTTTGCTTAGCATTCTTCTTCTTTAAAAACACTTATGAACCCACACACCTTTTACTTATATCTATCCATCTATATATGTGACATTGCACAGGGACTGAAGGTATGGCATTACAGTTGTTCACACAGATTGAGATTGATTTGTTTGCTGTAAACGGTTGAGTTCCAAGACTGTTGCACAAAGTTATCTCAACACATTGCCAGAAAAATCCTCATCCCAACATGATCAAATTTTATCCTGTGTTCAAATAAGCTTAGTGGCAGGAGCTATGGAAAGAACTGCTACTGAAAAGAGTCTTTTAGGACCTCACATAACAATTATTCCCTAATAAAAATGGAAGCTAACTGTGGCTGCAAATCTGAGGTACCCTGCATTGTCAAGATCGTATGTGCTAAGTGTTCACTGTGCTCACTTGCTTGCAAAGAGCATTCTTTTTCTTTGTCTTAAAAAATTAAGCCAGTTTTATGGCATCATCAAAAAATAAATTTATTGAGATGGTGGCATACAAAGGAGGACAAGCGCCTGCATTAAGACAGTAAACAAGTTAAAAGTTCCAAACTACGTCCACCTTAGTCCCATCACAGATCACTAGCAAAAAAAAGAGAAATCATTCCACCCAATGTAGTTGTTCAAGAATTAGTGTGCATCATCTGTAGCCTGTTTGGAACTAATTAAGTCTCTGAAGATTGAAGTCCAGAAATCAAGTCCCTGAATTCTGGGCCAAATTTCCAGCCCCAAAATATCCCGTGTCTCCTTAGGTATTAGTCATCAGCAGGAAACAGGTGCGATGCAGAAAATGCACTTACAAAGGTGAGAGGTAAGTGCATTCTTTCGTTTATTGGTACTCCAGCTTTCAGTACTTCTAACGAGCTGACAGAGGAACGGAAGCCAACAGCGAGTCACTGGCGAACTGCCACGCTGCGAGGGAAGGAACTCGCCGCTCCGCCGAGCAGCCTCCTGCCCTCCCGGCACCGCAGCCCCCGCTGCCGCCCGGCCCCGCCGGGGGATGGATGCGAGGCGGCGGCTGCTCCCGGGTCAGGCAGCGCCTCTCCCAGGGCGGGCCGGCAGGGTAGGGCAGGGGGAGCGCAGCGCCGTCCCCATCCCGGCCGGTGCCGCCGAGCGGGAGGCGGCGGAGCGTGAGGGCTGCGGCCGGCGCCCGGCTACTCACCATCTCCTGCCTCAGGAGCTGAAGTTTCATCTCCAGACGGGCCAGGGCGGCGGCGCGGCGGTGCCGGGGGCCGGGGGCCGCGGCGGCGGGGCGGGCCGCGAGCTCCTCCCCGCGCAGGGGCCGCGCCAGGCTCTCGGGCACTTTGCGCCCCAGTTTCTGCTCGACGTCGCGGAGGTCAGGCGGCTCCATGGCTTGCCCAGCAGGGGCCTACGGCGGCGGCGGCGGCAGCGCCGGCTCTACCTGCGTCCGTCCGGCCGCTGCCGGGTCGCGGAGGCGCCGAGACTCACGGCGGCCGCGCCACGCGGGGGACCCGCCGCGGGCTCGGGCATCTCCCGGGCGCACCAGCCCCTGCCGCCCCCTCCCCGGCCCTGCTCTGCCGCCGCGGGGAAAGGCGACGGCGGGCAGGCGGGGGCGACGGTGGAAAACGCCTCTGCTCCGTGTGCGAGACCGCGAAGCACCCCGATAGCCGCCGGCCTGGGCAGCGCGACCCGACTCATCACGTCCCGCCCGGCTGCAACTTTAAAGCCGCTGGCAGGTGGAAGAGGCGCGGCGCGGCCCTCCCACCGCGGTGCCCGGAGAAGAGGCGCGGCGCGGCCGCGGCCGCGGGGCGCCCCCGCACGGCGGGGACTGCGCCAGGCGCCCGGGACAGCGCTCGGGAACTCCGTGTGCCCTCGGCGGAAAGAGAGGAGAGATGGAGAAGTGGAGGAAGGGAAGGAAAAGGAAAAAGAAAAAGAGCAAAAGAAAAAAAAGGGGGGAGGGAAGGGAAAATAAAGGAAAAGAGAAAATGAAGGAAAAGAGAAAAAGTGGGAAAAACCCCCAAAACACAAAAGAAAATTAATTAGTCTCCCTTTCTAACTGGGATAGGAACATAAGTACAGTGCAAATGATATTCCCACTCGTCAAACAGGTTTTATTGCAGACAAGCTGATTCCTCCCCAAAACTCTTGTTATTTTTAATATTTTTTTACCCTCGTCCTCTTTAAGAAGTAAAACTTGCAACCTGAGCCAGTTGCTCTGACAGCAAGGCAAGTCTTGGCTGTGTAGATAGCAGTGCTGGATGTGTCCTGTAGCTAGCTCCCTGTCCCATGGTGCTGCTGCACATACCTATCACAGCACTGAAAACCCTTTTAGGCACAAAGGTGTGAATAGCCACATCCGTGGAACTGCAGCTGACACATGGCAAGGAGGCTGAGAGGGTAAGGCCACCAACCCTGAGTGCCAGGTCCTTTACAGCATCTAGAATCACAAAAAGTAGTGTGGTGAGCTTGGGAAAGCAAAATGTTGTTACAGCAAACTGGATGCTCTCTGCAAAATATTTCATCAGTACTTTAAAATCTGAGATTTATTGATCAGAGAACTTTGCAAGGATTTAGTACAGTCAAGCAAAAAATTCACAGACATATCTGATAATCTTAGAGGTGCATTGATTTTAGACCAGGACCCTTATTGTGTCACTATAATCATCTGGAAGTCCTTTGTGTGAGACATATGCAAAGACATTTTTCTCTCTCATATTCGCAAGTTCTGATGACAAAAACTCCATCAATATTTTTTAGAAAAGAAAGCCAAAAGCAGCCACACACACAAAATCACTGCCACCATATATCCAAATATGTCTTGCAGTTATATGGATATTTAGACACCAGTTTCTATATAATCTCAAATTGTTTATGCCATTCTGTAGATTAGTAAGAATCCCACTGAAATTCTTCCTCAGTGATCTATGAATGCCTTGTTAAGTAAAAGTCCAAGTTTATATCATTATTTTTGTTAGGACATTGAACTATTAAAGGACAATTTTTTGTTATACAAGAAGCATTAAAAAAGTAATGATTCAACTCTGTTCAAACTTTCTTTTTGAAGACATTTTTTAAAAAAATCTGAAAAATTAATATTATTTTTCAAAAATATTTCAGGTTACCTGAATAATCAAACTTCTTAAAATGAAAATATAAGAAGAAATAGTCCAAAGTTTTAGGCTATTTTAAAAAAAAGTGTTCATAGTAATAAAAAGTTCCCCAAATTCTACTGTAAATAACCTAAAAATAATGAAAATAAACCCTTTTTGTTATTCTTTATAAACAACATTCAGAAAGTTAAATACATAATGTACCCTATGGGTTCATGAATTTATTCTTCACCATCTGGTGGCCTGATTCTTACCTCTCACTGGCCCTGCATCAGTGGCATCAGTGTAACAGTTAGCAAGTCCATGGGTATACTTTTGAATTACAAAGATAAAAAGATATGCCTATTTACGGTCACCTTGCTAAATCTCTAGGGTTGTCAGATTTGTTAAATTAATAAGTGTTTTGAGGAAACAGGTTTCTCTGTAAATAAACAAAAACAGTTTTTACAACAGTTTACTGTTGTAAACAAATTGCATTTTTGTCCTGTTGGTCAGACCTTCTCTCTTCATTTTACAATCTTAAAATGTGTTACGTTGGAAGGGGATCATCTAGTTCAACTCCCTGCTCCTTGCAGGACTATCTAAAACTAAACTGTATGAGAGGGCATCATCCAGACAGCCCTTGGCCTCTGACAAGCTTGGTGCTGTGACCTCTTCTCTGTGGAGCCTGTTCCAGTGACCAAAAATTCTCTTGACAAAGAACATTTTCCCAGTGTTCAACAGGAATTTCCCCCAATGAATCTTCACTCTGTTTCCTCATGTCCTGTTGCTGGTTGTCAGAGAGACCAGATCCTTCTCCATCGCCCTCCATGAGGAAGCTGTAGTGTCTGGTAAGGACAACCCGCAACCTTATCTTCTCAAGGTGAACAAAGAGTGACCTCGTATGCCTTGTCCTCAAGGCCTTTCACCACCTTGGTCACCCTCCTCTGGATACGCTCTAATAATCTGATGTCCTTTTACTGAGGCACCTGCAACTGCACACAGGACTTGATATGGGCTGCACCAGCACACTGTGGAGTGGGACGATCACGTCCCTTGACTGGCTGATGATGCTGTGCTTGATGCACCACAGGTCTGGCTCTTTTGGCCACCAGGACATATCATTGACTCGTATCCAACTTGCCATCTACCCAAACCAAGGAATCTTTTTGACATTTCTCTCTGGTCTCTCCAGAGAGAGATGTCATTTATTACATTAAATACATTTAATTCCTGCATCCGGGTAATTTATAAAAATACTGAAGAGCACTGCCCTAAAATTGAGCTCTGGGGAACCCCACTGGTGACTGGCTGCCAGCCTGATATAACCCCACTTACTGACCTATCAACCACTTGCTCACCCAATATATTATGAACTTGACTAGCTATGTGCTGGACATTTCGTCCGGAAGGACACTGTGAGAGACTGTATCAAAAGCTTTGTTAAAATTGAAGAGCCCACATCTACTGTCTTTCCATGGACAACTAGATGGGTGACTTTGTCATAAAAGGAAATTAATTTAGCGAAGCAGGACTTTTCCCTCATGAATCAGTGCTGGCTGTCACCAGTGACTGTATTGTATCTCAAGTGTTTTTCGCTAACTCCCAGAAAAAATTTATCCATAATTTTATAAGTCACTGAAGTGAGACTGACAGGACTGTAATTACCAAAGTCTTCCTTCCTAAAATTTTTGAAAATTGGGAGATCATTTGCTGTGCTTCCACTTGACTAGGACCTCTCTAGATTCACAATACTGTTGAAAAATAGTGGAGAGAGGTTCTGCAATGACATTGGCCAGCTTTTTCACTATACTGGCAGGGTCTCAGTGGTTCTCATAAATTTATATGCATGTAGCTGAAACAGTAAGGCCCAAAAATTTCAGAGTCAGCTGGGAGTTTATAATTTCCCCAATTACAGTCTTCCAAAACAAAGCTCAGGACTCAATGGTGTTAAAGAAAGAGGGAAAAAAGGCACTAAATGCCTCTCCTTTGTCTACATGTTGTTTTTGAGGTGACTGACCTAATCGAATAATGGATGACTATTATCTCTGGTTCTTCTTTTTTAGTTAACATATTTAACAAAGGAGCTTCTTTTGTTGTCCTTCACAGAGCTGTGGAGTTTGGACCTTAACTGAGCTTTGGCCACATGAATTTACTCTCTGCAGTGTGAACAGTATCTCTCTTGTCCTTCTGTGTTACCCTGTTTTCTTCAGCCCTGTGCTGTCTAATCTTTATCTGAAATTCAGAGCTTTCTGAATCTCTTACTTTGAATCTCTAAATAAGGTCATTTAGATCAGTCTTTACTAGCTTATTTGTTTGTTTGTTTGTTTTTAAGTCCAGATAGACATATTCACCAATTTTAACACCTTGTTAAAGCCTCCTATCAACCCCTTCATTCTTTCTGTAGCCAGAAGTCTTGATATTTCAGTCCAACAAAGTGTGAATTCTTGTGTGTATAAGAGATGAAGCTGTTCAGCTTCTTGTTGGACAGGCTCTCTGTTGTCACACCATCTCATATGCATCCCCTTCAGGGTGTAAGAGTGAAGGAATAAAAGTTTCTTCACATGACTTTACTGAGCATGGCCTTAGACTTGCCTTAGGCCAAACCATGATTTTACATAAGAAATTGGAGAGTGGATGTTATGTTAAACATTTTGAAAGTAAAATGAAATTAATTCACTGTTTAATTTTTCTTGATGCCTTAGACCTTTGAGGTCCAGAACACGGTGCTGTCTTTGTCCAGGAGGGTGAAAATACTGTAAAAAACCCATAGTGCCATCATGCAACACATGTGTATTTCTGAAGATCACATCGTGACCTTGATTTTATGAACTTCAGGCATGTAGTTTAATCAGGTAACTACTTTCAAACCTGTAAGATGGGAACCTCATTTCAATGATAGTTCTTTGCAAATTTAGCTCTTGAGTGATTGTTGAAGATAAACACATGGGAAATAAGAGGACAAAAGTCATGAAACAGGACAACAATGGGCAGCTTGAGAAGAGGCTTAAAGTCTTGTTCTCAATGTACATCTTTTTTTTGCTTTCCACAAAAGATGTATGTTGAGGAGTGCTAGACTTCAAAATGGAAAGAAATAACAAAATAAAAGCAAATTTATTTACAGGGATGATATACTTAAGGGACGTTATACTTAGGGGATGAGGCACAGCAACTCAGGTTATTTATATCATTGATTTTGATAATAATGGATCTCTCCATAATACTTTTTCTTTCAATTTCCATTAAATAAAGTCTTTAAGATGTCTTAGAGGGCAAAAATAGTTGTAATACGATTCTAAAATGTAGGAATTTTCCTG